CCAACAAATTCATAATGCAAACATTAAAAATGGTTGCAAATACTTAGTGTCAAATACTTAAAATTATTGCCATGCACGTTTACTTCAACTGAAACGTATACCAAATTGCTACAAACATAAAATTCACAAAACAACTATCATTATTTAAAATATAACTAAACCATGTACACGTCGACTTATTTTTACTTAAAAAAACATCCCAGAATTGCACAAAAATGGCATTGCGCACACTCTTCACTATATCCATGTACACTGCTTTTTTCATATAAATTAGAAAAATTTCACAAAAATGCATGAAAATACTCAACGTATACTACTCAAACGTATTCCAAAATACTACAAACATATAACTCACAAAATCACGATCATTAAATTAAAAAACACTACTTAAAATATAAATAAGCACATACATTAAATTAATAAAAATTAGATTACAATCCTAATTAAATTACTTTAAACTAAATCATTGCTAATAACAATTTTCCAATAATACCATATTAATTTAGAACATTAGAACAATGCATAAAAATAATATCCTCAAATGATTAAAAATACTAACTTACCTAATCTTCTTCAGAATCTGCATTATGTGGCACGCACACTTCCCTACAGAAATAGTTCTAATCGGCTGCAGTACTACTGCTAATTTCTAAATCCGAAATCCAGTAGTCAACTGGCAGTCTATTCACCCAGTAATAAAATTAATAAAATTTCACCCATACTCAACTACTTTCAGCAAACACCCCCTTCCTTACTCTCCGTTCACAAAATGTCCATTTTCACCAGATTCTTGCACCGCCATTCAAACTTATCTGTAATATCCTTCCTTTCACACAATCTCATTTCCACATGTTGGACATTCATACTTATCCGCAATTAATCCTACACTCGTATACCATTCAACCAATTCTTTTGAATTATCAGATAAATGCATTAAAAATTTTAGAATTCACTTTAGATAGCGCCATGCGATCCAAAAATTAATCAACACTATTCGCACAAAACACACAATGAAGCTTAATACAAATGCAGCTATAGTACTGCAGATGTTTTTCCAAATTTATCCCCTTTTCCGATTAAAGAACTGTAATTTATTTGTCCATTAATGTCACATGCCATATCTCATGATCTCTCATTTCCCCTCACACAAAATAATGCATAATCGGAACTGAGTACTTCTCACATTATTACCAAAGTCCTAGGTAGTAACCTTTATCGCCTCCAAAATGTCGCCAAACTACCTGTTACCATATTCCAAAGATCAGCCGTATTTAACTGTGTGATAAGCTAATATCATGAAAACTTTCTTTTATCATAACAAATAAAGTAATTTCTGATTATGTCAGAAATTCATCTCATTTCAAAAAGAAAGTGTGACTAATTCTTCACTTTCTTCATTTCTATTATTTAAAGAATCATCTTTAACTTGTTTTCAATCAGTTCTTTAACTGTGCATAGTTGTGTTGCCATTAGATTGGCATCATAATTTAAAGTCTTTGAAAGTAATATCAGCTTCTAGATTTTGATTCCTCTTTTATCTATAATTTCAATTTCATCATCACTTTTCTGTCAATGGCTTTATCTAGGTCTCAGTTTAAAAAATTCACCTTTATACGTTCCTGATACAATTTATTGTTTAGCAAAATACACAATTGAATTACCTTTCAGTGTTGATCTTCAGTTTCAAAATCAATACATTCATATCTATTATTTATAAAGTATTTTTGTATTATTTTTTAAGATTATTGACATTGAAAGATAACCCAAATTAAAATGAACTGAAAGTTATGAAATGCATATAGCATTTGTTATACTGTTAAGCATTTAAATTTTTAAATATTGTAAAATAATGTTTTAAACCTTTAAAATTCTGCATGCTGATTTTTTTTTTTTTTTTTTAATTTTAGAATATATTGATAAGTCATTAAAAGCATGTACAACTTTAAATATGCTAATTGCAAGTCATCAAATTAAAACTAAAAATTATAAGGATGTGTCAGAAGCAAACTACATTACATTAAAATGACTTTAAATTCCGTATCATACGTGCACAATATATTATATACCAGGGGTGGCCAAAGTGCGGCTCGCAAGCTGATATGCTCTTTGCAGGCATTTGTGCGGCTCTGCATATAAATATATGTATGAAATATCTCTTAAACTAAAACTATTCAGTGTCTTAAAAAAAAAAGTAATTAATAGTTTAGACTCTTTTTACAGAGTTATCAGGGATTTCTTTCTATTTAAAACATCCTCCACTACTTCTATAATGATTTAAATATGAACTTGTGGCTTTTAGAAATTCTAGATGCAGCTCTCGAACATTCTCGAATTCAAACGTGTGACTCTTACTGACGTAAAGTTTGGCCAACCCTGTTATATATGTAACATTTAAAATGGCTCATTATGTTATACTCTTGATAAACATTGTACTGTCATAATTTGGATGGTAAATGAGTTTGAACTTTTGACCAGGCAATGTGATTGACTATTACAGCATGATAGAATATAGAAGGTGGTGATTAGTAGCACAACATAATTGTAGCATGGAGGGCAGGGCTAAAGATTAAGATATTCTTAATAGCAGTATTCCACATAATTTTGAATAATTACCGCAGATAAATTCTTAAATGCTCCAAATTTTTTTTGACAAAATGCTATTCTCAAATGTTATTGCATTAATAATCAGCAGTTTGAATTGGAAATGAAATAAAGAATATAATTTATGTAATAATTTAAACAATAAAACATTAGGTAGATGAATACTGAAATTTTAGTCTGCTCTTCTTTTATACAAGTAATGGCATCATAAATTAAATTATGTAATGGAAATAGGAAAATGTACTCCACATATCCAAAAGATGTTTTTATTTAATTAAACCATGTTAATAAAAAATTTAATGATTAAAATTTAAATTAACACTATGACTTAATTATTACTTATATCTACATCATAAGATATGCTGTAATTTTTCAGTATTATTTTTTTAATGTTAAATTTTTACCTCCTGCCAACCTATATATATAGGTAAGGGAGGTAAGTTTTCACTCTAAAAATTTAATAGTGAGTTTTCACTGAATAAACACAACTGAGGTTCACAAAACATATTTTTACAATGATGTCTCTGTATGTGATGATTTTTTTCATTCACGATAACATTTATATCCAACTTCCAAAAATTTCCTATTTCTGATTCCTTCTAGATTCAAATAAAAAAGGTGATTAGATTTTGAGTAAAACTGGATAACTGTAAGTCATACTTTACATGAAGCCCACAACAGTCTTCAAATAGATTTTTTAACATTTTGGGGAATACCAATGGGAAAAACATATTAGATTTTGGCTCAAATCAATAAATGAGAAGTAATACTTTACTTGAAGCTCTGCACAAGCTTTTGTAAAATATATACAGTCAAAAGTCGTTAATCCGGACTCGTCGGGACGGCGATTCCGGATTTTCGATAATCAGTTTAAATCTAGTAAGATGGCATGCAGAAATTATAAAATTAAAATATGAAAAGTAAATTTTAAATAAAGAACAATTATGATCAAAGGGCATCAAGATTTACAAAAACAAAAAAAAAAAAAAAAAAAAAAAAAAAAAAAAAAAAAAAAAAAAAAAAAAACTTAAAAAAAAAAAAAAAAAAAAAAAAAAGAAAAAAACAAAAAAAACACAATTCTATAAACAGACATAATTTCTGTTCAGTTACAAAGTTCCGCTGTTCAAGTCCTATAATTGCTGTGTCGAGAATACGACTAATTGTCAATCGAAATTTTTTCCTTTTCATAACCTCTGTGCACTTTCTTCGCTATCGGAAGCAAATTATAATGATGAGGAATTTGATTTAAACATATCAAGACGGAGACATCGAGATGAAATACTACATTTAGTAAGGAATTATAAGCCAATTAAAATAAAAACATCTGCCCTGAAGATAAGGATAGTGCTGACAGATCAACTTCCAATTCATTGCGCACTTAATTTTCTTTATTTTAAAACAAATCAAATTATATATTATTCAAATGCCCAATAAAATACACTTTTTAATAAAAAGTGGCAAACATTTAATCATTTTGATATAAGCTTAAATAAACCAGTTTTTACACATGGCCATTAAATCTAACAAAATATAATCTAAAATTTTATATTACAGAACTTTCTATTTATTGGAACAAAAACTGGATTTTGTTCACCAATGATCAACCAGAAATGATACTTTATTCAATGCTTGCTGCTGTTTAAAATATGAAAATCGCAGGTTTTTCACATGTACATTTCTTAATTTTGTCTTACCTTTAAACAGAGTCGTAGCTAGGGTTTTCAGCGCCCAGGGACAACTGAAGATTTTGCGCCCCCTACTGCTTGCCAAGGATGGAAAACATTTAATTCTAAAATGTCGTACATAGTGACGCCCCTTGGATTCTGCGCCCGGGGACAGATGCCCTCCTTGCCCCCCCCAGCTACGCCCCTGCCTTTAAACTGGTGTCAATCTGAATCAATGTTTATTAGCTGTGGCCATGTGAACCTTTTGTACATAAAATTGAATTATCTTTGGCTGAGCAATGTAAAATAGAGATTTATTGGACGCGTTTATTTTATAAATTTAAATGGAAGTATGTATCAGTGATTAGTGTAACTATAATAGTTAATATAAAATTTTTTTAACCCATACCTTTTTTTTTTCCCCTAAAGTTTGGATACAAACTAGGCAGACAGGTTTACAGGAGTTTAAGTCCTTTCAGAGTTATTTGTACATACTCATAACATGTCCACAAAATAAAATGCTCATACAAGGCCAGATATAATTTTTATTAAGTCATCTTTTAATAAAAATTTAATTTAAAATGGACTTGGACCTAAAATCTTCCGAGTGTAATGTGACATTTTTTATCTTTTTAGTTTCAAGTTTTAAAGACATATATTGGTCAAAAATAGATGCTTTCAACATTAATTTTATGTAAAAACTCTCAGATACGTAATTTGAACAAATCATATAAAAGAAACAGTAAATTATATAATTTATAATAAATATATGTACATACATATACAGAAGTTAATTTCCATATTATTAAAAAGAAGATTAGATGGAACTGAATAAGACTATTATACAAAAAGTCTATTTACACAGATTAAAATTCAGTCTGTATTTTCAGATGTATCTTCATCAAAGTACTTCTCCTCTTCATCTAGATTCCTTTGGTGTACCGAATCGTATTCCACATTATTATCTACCAAACTAAAAATGATAAAGAAGGTTAAAAAAAAAAAAAAAAAGATTAGATTTCAATTCTAGGAAAAAATAAATAAATAAATAATAATTTCAGGTAAAAATAGCAGAGACACATAATAATATATCTTTTGTGATTTTAATGAATAAGCTAAGATATATATTTTAATATAACTAATATCATGCTACCTAAAAGAAATGTATATATTTGCAATAACTTTTTGTGTGTGTTATAGAATAAGGACTATGACCATGATACCAAACCTAGAGAGATAATCATATTTAGTATACAAATTATTATCAAGTTAAACAATATGATTAAAAAAGGTCATAAAAGTGTATTACTCTAAAATTGTTATGTACATCAAAATGATTGATGAATTGTTAAAACAATGAAACAATTAAATTTCAGTGAATACAGTGAGGATATGAAACAAATTTGTAATGCCTTAATTGGGAAGAGAAGTTTGTACTTTTTCAGTCTGCCAGAAGCCTTGATCTTACTTAGCACTACTAGAATCCTTAATCCTTAAGTTCTAATTGATCTGGTATCTTATCTCAAATAATTCACCCACCCAAGAGAAATCCATATAAAAAATATCATTAACAGTAAAAAGATTCATTCCCTCTATCATGTAAGCCAAAATATTCCAAATGAATATATACCTGAGAAAATTATTTCAAAACAGTTTAGACATCTACTAAATCAGAAATAAAGCAAATATTTTAATTCTAATATGATGTGTTCAAAAATTCTAAGCAAAATGCTTTTAAAATCCTGACACCCTTTCAGTAACTCCATACACAGTATGACATGGCATAAAACAGACAAATTTAAATCTTAAACTGAAACAAGAAACTTTATAAAATGGTGCTCAAATTCTAAAAATAGATATATTGTTTTTTAATTTTGCCAAAACTATTAATTAGAAAAGCAACTGATTTTAAAGATTTGAAATATTGCAGTCTTCACAAAATTAAAATCAGTACATTCTATTATTTATAAAGGGAACAGATCAGCTTTATCTCATGGATTAGACTAAATTCTGCATAACTGTAGGAAAATTTAAAATAAATGAGTACTTTTCTGTTAAAGCCATAGTGATACATTTTGGTTCATTTCTTTTCCATGACTTTTGGCTAGATAGTAAATAAAATGGAACAAATAGAAACAGCGACAAGAAAACATTCTCCAATTTCATTACAAAATCCACTGTGTCAGAAGAACATGATCTACTTAATAATAATAATAATAAGCTTTTATCAGGTTTCATAACATAGCATCAATCAATTTTAATGTTAGTGTGAAATAACAAGGAACTGGGAACTTCTCTCAAATAATTAATCCAACCAACTGTGGTGTTATGATTTATTTGAAGCAAGCTTTGTTTAAAAACACTCAGTAAACAGTAATTCCTGATTTTATAAATTAATTGTATAACACTAATAAAAGGATTTTAAAAAAATGTGTCAGGGCACTTTTTTCCCAACATGAATGAAGGCTGCACAGCCAAGTCACATCTTAATGTAGTGTTTATTCAAACACAATCTTTCTTTGTGAAGAGTATCTCTTTCTTGAAAATGCAAGATAGCTGCTTGTTCAAGTTTCGGTAATTCCCAAGTCATAAAATCTATTACAGCTAAAAAAAGAATGATTGAATGAAAAGTAAGGTTGCACTGCACTAGCAATGGTTGTAAAACAATTATTGCTAGAAAAGAAGCCAACCAAACTGGCAGTACCTTGCACTGAGGAAATACACCAAAACAAAAAAGTGTGTGCACAATGCTCAGATTAAATACTACTTTCAACAGTGCTTTTTGTTTTTTTTACTGGTGTTATTGATTCTTCTAATGTTATTTTATTCTGAAGTGAAATGATAAACATTTTAAGGAATTGATAAAAAAAATAGAGCACTACAAAAATTAAAGCAATTTTAAATTTATTTTGTTTTAACTTCTATTTTTTAAAGTTTGTAGAGTTCCTCACTTTGGAATTCTAAGTTAATATTGGAAGTGAAGAATCTAAGAACTGATAAGCGAATAATTGCTTGAGTTCGGTGACAAGAAACAACAAGATAGAAGGGTAACTAACCCTTTATTATTTCAATAAGATTTAACAAAACTTCGCCTGGGAGTGTACAAACAAAGCCCGCACTTGGACTTGAACTTAAAAGACTAAAAATTTAAACTAAAACTAAGATTAACTAAAGAAGTATAGCCGAAGCTATCAAGGTTCAAATCGAGTTGGCCCCTTGACTTATTTGACTATGAAGCTTAGCAAGGGCCTGAGTACGGCCAAGCGTAATAACAGCTTTGAGAGAGAGAGTGGCCAAAAAGGCAGACGAGCGTAAATCAGAAACTCTGATTCTCTTTGACTCGGTAAGTAACTTCCTGGTTTAAATACCGCTCCTCATTAAATATTCAGCAAGATTCCAAAACTACTTTTAGCCAGAAGTAGTAAGTTGAAGTTAAGAATTTGACAGGAAAGGAACTTAAATTTTAACTGTTAATAAAATTAACATAATCCTCACAAGTTATTATTTATTTACAGTTAATTTATCATAAAAATACTTTAATGTATAATAGTTTAATATAGGTTTATGCATTAGCAAAACACAAAAATACAGAGGAAGAAGATATGATTCACAAATAAATTTTTAAGGAAGTTAATTAAATTGTATTTTTCTCTTGAAGTTAAAAAAAAATTGAAACCGTGATAAGTGATCATTTATTCAAAGATCCCTATGCCAGGTTTTATACGTTAATTATTTTATGACAAACCTCAGTTGTGAATCATATACATATTTGCAAAAATACAATAAATTAAAACAAAAATTGTTTTTTGTATAACATTTTTGCAGCATTTTATTTTTTGCATTATTTCCTTAAAACATTTTTCAAAAAAACTCCTATTTCAAAATAAAATGGTATTAAATTAATTAATAACAATAGTAAAAAAAAAGTGATAGTATGATTTGATCTAGAGAAACACGCTTGCATGTGATATTATCAGGTTAGTGGTGTTTGCTAGTGATGGAAGAATTTCAATAATATTGCTTAAAACTTCATTTTCAATTTTCTCAACTATTTTTAAAAGATTTATGCTCTCTCATTATATGTACATTCACTTTAATGTCCTCTATAATTATTTAGAGTATGGGTGAAATCAGCAAGAAGAAAGTCTTACACTCCCCTTGTTTATGTGAGTATCCTTGGCTTCATTTTATTGTTGCAAACAGTGTAAATTTCTTTTGTTTTTCTTCCTTTAGTTTTGAACTTTATGTGTGGCAACAAGATAATTGATTGATAGAATTGTGTTTGTGACAGCCAGGTAGAATGGCTAGCTTATTTTGTAACAATTATTTCACATTGCTGGCATCTTATTTATAATTAGTGTAATAAAATAAAAGTGAAGGAATGCAGTTCATATGTTAAGTGATTATTGTTTGTGAAACATATTAAGTAAAGATCATTTATTATTGTTCAAAAGTCTAGCCAGAGTGCTAGTGAAGATAGTGACTGTTCTAAGCGCATTGTAACAAAGCAAATATGCATATGGTTGGTGAACAATTACTCCTCTTTGTGAGGTAAGTGGATTTTGAACATTTATATTCTAATAAAAATTTGTTTATAACTGATTTTAAGAACAATTTCTGTTTTTGAATTGATCAATTATGAGTGAACTTATAACTTTTAAAACAAAAAGAACTGTTTTACGCAGGAGTGTTACTAATTATGTAAAGAAAATTGAAACTATTTTAACTGTAGATGAAAATAATTTAATAGAACTAGAGGAATGTGACGAATTATCGAAACAAAAAGAAACTGAGTTAAGCAAGCTTGATTCTGAAATCGAAAGTTTAATTACAGATACTAAAGAATTAGAAAACGAAATAGATAATGTTCAGGAGTACACAGATAAAATTTATTTGTGGAAATTTAAAGGTGAAAAAATATTAAAAAAATCAAAATAGTAAAAATAATTCTAATAGTGTAATTTCAGAACAGGTTCTTGACAATATTAAATTACCCAAGTTAACATTACCGACTTTTGGTGGTAATATTACAGAATGGATAGCTTTTAAAAGATCTTTTCAGTGCTTGTGTAAGAAATAATACAAATTTATCTAATGCTCAAAAATTGCAGCATTTGAAGGCTTCGTTGAAAGGTGAAGCATATCGCATAATTTCAAACCATTCAAATTTCGGATTGTACTCGTAATTTTAAAATAGCATGGAATCTGTTAGACGCAAGATATTCAAATAAGAGAGAACAAAATTTTTGCATATATATTAAACGTTTTCTAAGCTTACCAACTTATTCAAAATGAATCAGCATTTGCTATTTTTAAATTTAGTTGGCAATATTAATGAAGTAATTTCGTTCTTTAGAAGTATTGAATCAAGCCGATTGATAATTTTGGGGACATTTTAATGACATTATTTAATTCTTGCAAAAATTAGACCCTTCTACAAAATTATTGGGGAACGTCAGTGAAAATGTAATGAGATTCCAAAACTTACGACTCTAATTGAAGTCCTAAAAAACTATGCAAGAACACTTCAAATAGCAAATCAACAAGTAATAAGGTACCTAAATCTGTGTTTCAAAATAAGAATAATGTTTTGATTGCTACTTTGAGTTGTGGTTATTGTAAAGAAGATCATAGTTTAGCCAAATGTTCGAAATTTCTAAATTTATCGGTTCAGATGGCTCACAGATGGCATGTGAGACAGTTTGTTTTTCAACACTTCTGGAAAAGATGGAGTTGAGAATACTTGTCTCAGCTTCAGCAAAGACCTAAATGGCAAAAAAGTCAAAACAATTTAGAAGTCAATGACTTAGTCCTCATCAAAGAAGACAATCTTCCACCTATTAAATGGAGGTTAGGGAGAATAATTGCTGTTCATCCGAGCTCTAATCATAGAGTCAGAGTTGTTAGTATTAAAACTGGTCATGGTGTCATAAAACGATCAGTCGTGAAATTGTGTCCTCTTCCTATTCAGACTAAAAACTATGAACTGCTTTGCATATAATATTTTGTATTATTTTTCTTATGTTTACCTTTTATTACAGACTAAGAAGTTTCAAAATGCTCCAACTGTTGAAATCCCCTGGGATTTCAACGAGGGCCAGGATGTTTATGTGAGTATCGTTTGCTTCATTTTATTGTTGCAAACAGCATAAATTTCTTTTGTTTTTCTTCCTTTACTTTTGAACTTTATGTGTGGCAACAAGATAATTGATTGATATAATTGTGACAGCCAGGTAGAATGGTTCGCTTATTTTGTATCAATTATTTCGCATCGCTGACATCTTATTTATAATTAGTGTAATGAAATAAAAGTGAAGGAATACAGTCCATGTGTTAAGTGATTATTGTTTGTGAAACATATTAAGTAAAGATCACTCCTTGTTAAACTAATATCATATTACACAAGAAAAAGTACAGAAAATGTTGCGGGGAAACACTTCACCGAGTTTTAGAACACTTACTGCATGTCTCCTGACTTAAATAGCATTAATTGTTGCAAAATCTAACGACAGATATTAAACATATAGATAGACAGAAGACAATATTGTTGCAAATTCTAAACTATAGATGGCGCTAATAAGTCATAAATGTTTTTCATCAGTTAGCACTTTGAGATAAAAGAAAGGAGTTGTGTACTGTCAGCCAAATAAAGGATTAATGTTTAAAGGATGGTCAAGTACCTTACATTAGAAGTTCACTAGATCATCAAGAACCAGGTAAGAACTTTCTATTCTATTTGAACTGATTAACGATTGAACCTTTAGTTTTAAAGATGAACAATGTTTTCACTAGCAATAAATTTATTTAAATATTTAAAATTTTAAACATACAAGTTACATGAATAAATGTGTCGCACCACACATCAATTTACAATGGTTTAATTACAACAATGTATTTTTTCCTATTTTCAATATTCTAGAATAAATAAAAAGTTTTATGTACCTGTAATCAAAGTCTTCATCTTTTCCAGCAAGAAAATTTTCATACATAATATTTGTAAATTCATTACGTAGCAGTGTTTTTTCTTGTTCTGTGACAGTTCTGTTTGTAGGAATATCATCTTCCAATTCTGAAAAAGTGTAAAAGAATCTTGATATAATTTTTTTCCAAAAATGAATTTAAAAATTTACATATGCAATAAAACTTTATTTCAAGGAAATTAATAATTTAAAATTACATGAAAGAATGACGAAAAATATCTCAAGTATTCAGTTGGTGGCTTGGTTAATGGCAAAGCACAGAAGGACTATTTCCATCAGGAAAAATGTCTTGGTAAAAGGAAATGGCTTACACTTTGAAAAAATGTATTGCAAGCAGACTGTTCATGACTGTACCCTGGAATGAATACCAGTATTCAGCTGCTTTAGCTACTGTATCACTGATGACTGCACTGTATTAACACAAAGACAACCAATATGTACAAAAGCACATCAGCAGTTCCAAACAGCAAGATCACTAAACACTGGTAGTTCCACTAGTTTAATTCTTAGTGAAAGAGCTGTATGGGAATTTTCATGATTTTCTTTATACATAATGAGAATGAATATACGTCAGTTTTCTTTCTCCACATAAGCTCCTCCCCTTAGGCAGACACCCCTCAAGTACTTGCCATAATCTCAACCAATTAATATATGTATATGACGGGAAAATGACGAATGCAATGACAAATTTTCTGTTATATTCATTTATTACTATTCCACATTCTTCAAAAATTCCATTAATTGGAAAATTTTGCTTTTTGTTTGTAATATCTGTAAACCTTCAAATCTGTATCTATCATCATAAACCTATCATGAGATTGGTGAACAATGTTGTTCCATTATGTTTTGGCTTGCTTCTATCACACATGAAGGAAGCTTAGCTTAAATTATACATGTATTTCTGATACTTATACCTATTTCCTGCACATGCTTCAGGTTTCAGGGAGTCCTGAATGAATAAATTCCCACGTATATTTAAGGCTTATCCAGGACCACCGTTAAGCATTTTGCAGCCTGGTGCAGTCTCTGTGGGTCTGAAATTCTGCTGCCAAGTGCCTCCCTAAATTCTAAAAATTTTGCATCCTAGTGTTTTCTAAATTCTAAAGATTTTTTTATTCCTTAATTTTGTTGCTCAGTGCTTCTCTAAATTCTAAATGCGTCCCCTAAATTCTATTGCCAGGACTAGCAGTACACATTTTGCCCCATGGTGCAATCTTTGCATGTCGTAAATTCTGCTGCCCAATATTTCCCAAAATTTTGAAAATTTTGCCATCCCTAAATTCTACAGCCCAGTATCTCTCCTAAGTTCTAAAATTTTTGGTATTCACCTAATTCTAAAATTATTGCACCAGGTTAGGCTATACCAATTCTAGTGCAGGTTCTGTAGGCGGATAAGCATTTTTGTATTTCACCTAAAGAATAAGCGAAGCCCCACTGTTACCACATCTACATGTGATCCCTGACCAGATAATTATTAATGACTCGGACTGCCATACTGAAAAGTCCAGGATCAAATCTCAGAAAAGGCATGGATGTTTGTAAGAATATAGTGTGGGGTGTATATAATGGATATAGTATGTGGCACTTAAAAACACGCTGAGTTGAAGTTCTCTCAAGAGGTTGGTGGTAGGGGGAGAGGGGTAGGACAACCTCAAACTGCCCCCCCTGAAAAGTGGGGCAGAAGCTTAGTTAGATTTAACAATACTTTAATCACTGTGATACTACAGAGGTGCTGGCCTAGCTTCTACTTATATCCTGTCTACATATCATATTACTATATTTAAATTGATCACCAAATTCCTGATAATTCCTGATATCTTAAACTGTTGAAGTCCCTATGATTCCTGATCTTGGAATTCATATTGTCCATATTATGTATGTGCATAATATATATATATTGCAAGGATTTTAGCATCTTCACTTTAATAATTTTTTAGGAATTTATTTTGCTTCTACTATTTTTGATCGTTTATTTACCAGTTTTTGCACAATCTTTTACCTGCAATTTGTATAGTAATTTTGATATAGGTTTCAAATCAATCAAATCCTGATTTGTTTAACCTTGCAAATAAAGGTGACAAAAAAATTGCTTCTTTTGATTATTGTTAACTGAAGAGGTTGATTTGTACCCCCTTGAACAATCAATTAATCTCTGTTTAATGATAAAAATTAAGTTCCCCCTTCCTTTTAAAATATTTTTGGTCTTTTGCAATTTTTAAAGTTTCAACAAGTATTTTTATTTTTATTTTATTGATTTTTGCCATACATTTGCAAAAGCATTTTTTTAAAAAAATTTCTTTTCTTTGAAGATAATTTCTTCTCATTATTTAATAAATTTTATTGCTACTGCACAGCTTCAGTGCTTTTTCATTCCTATAAATTTCCTTTTAATTACTTTTAATATATATATATATGTAATGATATTTTTAAATCAATTTATTAAATTAAATTCTATTAATATTGCTTAATAATGTGTTGGCGATTCTCTACCTAAATTGCATCCCTGTTCCTAAATTTTGGCAAAATCCTTTCTTTAGTATAAAATATATTAACCTGTTGGCGCCCGCCAAATCGCCAAACTCATAAATCTGTCATATTACATAAAGTACTTAAGAACACTCCTGATGAGAAGATAGCATCACCTTGTGATTTCAATTAATATCGCTGATTGGAGGAGCCTCATGACGTACACATATGTATAAGTAGGGCTTCTGCTCAAGGTACGAGGAGAACGCTTGTGAGATGGATGCTAAAATAAACCTACCACTTTATATTCCAAAATTTGTCTCATTCCTGTTGCCCCGGCTGCACAAAACAAATAATGTATGAGAAATTACATTTCATATATATATATATGTCATAATAAGAGCAAAGGAAAAAAGACGGAGCAGTGTAGATGCGTGATTAGATCCATATTGAAGAAGAATTTTGATTGTGTAGTATTTAAAGAACTTGGCAGTCGAGGCAGTTTTAATTCCATTTTTATTTCCAATTGATATTTGTGGCCACAATCACTTGGCACTCTAGTCGTGCCTTTCCACAGAAGATTTACATTTTTGATATTGTTGGGATAGAAAGCAAGCCAGCGAAATTACATCTTAGCACAGTAGAGAGCAAAAGCTGAAGTGTGTCGTTATGAAAGATGGAAGCACGCGAAGAGAAAAGTTTTGGTTTACAATTCGGTGATTGGTCGTCAAGAGGCATCTGGTATTAACGGTTACGTAAAATTGCATGATTAATTTGAATGACGCAATGCAGATAAGTTATTACGATTTTAGAATAGAGAGGAAGAATTAATATTTATAGTCATATTATAATTCTGATTCATACATTGTTATCTTACATATATATAAGGCTTTACTGCACAGAATTCCAAACATGAGAGGAACATCACAGATATAAATTATAGATATAAAAAGAGCAATTAACATCAGTTTTAGCATCAAACTAGTATTACTGTTTTACTCACTTCTATAGAACAGCTGATAACCAATTCATTGAAAATGTTTATTACTGTCATTTCATTCTTCACAGAACTTAATATCAGACAAATAATTAAAACTTTTTATTTTATATTATTAATTTGCAGTTTTTTATACAATATAAAAAATGCATAGAAAAATAATCAGCATATTTAATGTTTTTAACAACATTAATTTTGATATATTTCAACATAAACATACCAGATTCTTCTTCTGTATCATCATCTTCTTCTTCAACTATTGCTTCATCTTCATCTTTTTGACATTCAAATAAGTAATTCTCTTGATTCCTTTCTAATTGATCCATAAGAAAACTGGAAAACCTAGATGAGAGGAAAAAATTCTGGCATATCAAGAATCGCATAATAAATTTATGAAAAAAATGTCCTATAATCCACAATCCTATGAATCAGCTATAATTATTTGCCATATAAAAATTAATATTTTAATAACCCATGTACACATTATTTGTAAAACTAAATACATTTAAATTTTTGCCTCTGCTAATAAGCTCTTAATATCATATGCATTCTCCCTCCTTCCCCACAACTGGATTAGCCATTAACATAACATAAGCAAGTGCATAGGGCACCAAAGAAAGGATGCATTACAAAAAAGTGCAGGGCCTTAGGAAATATGGCACTACAAATATTTAGTATTGCTAGTTTTTACCATGGAAGGTATAGTGCAGCTAAACCAAGACCAAAAGAAAAAGAACTGAGAAATGGGGGTACCAAAACATTTTGAGTATTTTAAACATTCAAAATCTGCCCCCTTCCCAATAACATTATTCACATTCACACGAAAGTGTCTAATATTTATGTTACTCCCACACATTTGGTGCACCTAACACTTGGGAGTCAATATATTCTTCATATACCAGCCAAATCACCCAATTCTCACAATTCCTTGCAAATATCCCAGGCAAAGAATCATTACTGAAATTTATGCAAAGTTGTGAAAAGTGAATGAGTTATGAAGTGATTTCTGAGATATTTTATCCATATGGAATATAAATAAATTCAGGAAAATTTTTTGCTCCTGAAGAAGAACTTGTATCTGATCACCTCCAAAATCAACAGTTATTCAAAATGGATGTAAAACTAAGCTTTCTTTTTCTGCTTAGTTATAAGATATTTTCTCTCTCCTTTCTACATATCTTTGCAGTGGATTGGAAGCAAACTCGGTGCGTTTTCAAGAGGTCCGAGGTTCAAGGCTCAGCAAATTTTTCACACCTCCCACTTCCAAATAACTTAATGACGCTCAAACTAAATGGTGGTGGATGATAATTTGTCACCACCAGAATTTAGCAATCAAGTCCTTTAACCCTCAGCTGCCCTTTAAAAGAGGGGGTGTATAAGGTATTTTCCTTTTCGTATGCCTTCATGGTGTAAGTTGGAAACATATTAGATGCATATTTGAGAGCTCCAGGGTTCATGACCTGGGAAGGGTATTACACATTTTTCACATCTCCAGCATAAAAAAAACCTGACTCTACAGTGGTGCTCAACCTAAAAGGCTGTGGACAGTAATTTGTTAGCATCAGCAGTTGGCAATTTGGTTCCCTAATCCCCAGTTGCCCTTGAAAAGGAGGAATATATAAGGTATTTTCTTCCTCCTTTCTGCATGCCTTCATGGTGTAATTGGAAGCATACTCAGTGTGTATTCGAAAGGCCCAGGGTTCACTTCCCGACGAGGGCACTGCTTATTTTTCACATCTCCTGCTTTTTTTTTTTTTTTTTTTTTTTTGAAAAAAAAAACAACAACAACAACAACAACAACAAAAAAAAAAAAAAAAAAAAAAACTAATAACTCGCACACAATAACCAAGTTATAAATGGCTGTCTAAAATAAAAACCAAGGTGTTTGGATATTTAACCCTTAGTTGACAAGATTTGTCAGTCACTTAACAATTTTTATAATCTATTTTGACCTTATTTGCTGATTTTGCTTTTTATTTGATAACTTTATTTCAATTTAAAAAACTTTATTTGATACTATTTTTATCATTAAACTGACTTGTTGGCCACAACAAGTTATGTATTTTCTATGTTTTTATAAACAAACAGGCAGCACTTTGACAATTCGGTAACAATATCCAAATGATAATATTAACCATAATTATATTAAGCAGCATCTACTGTACTATATACGGAAATTTTATTGAAATTAATCAATAACTCAAGTGGTACTCGTCCTCAGATCAAGCACAACATGTTACCCAAAGAAATATCTATAGGTTAGTCTCTGTATTTTATTATGCTATGCTATTGCAGTATTTATCTTTCAAATTAAGCTTTGCATAGTTTAACTGAGGAATTTAAAAGCAATATATGTGTTTTCCATAATTTATATAGTTATTCTCTTTTTTTAGTAATCGATCTAATTTTTAATATATTAAATTCATATATCCAAATGGTAATCCAATGGTTTAGTAATCGATCTAATTTTTAATATATTTAATTCATATACCCAAATGGTAATCTGTATAAATATTTGCATTAAAGCAATTAAATATACACCTTATAGTATATATCTTATAATAAATATCTGAATGCTACGTAACATCCAATGTTTTGTTTACCTGCAAAATATGCTTATATTAGTACCTTCATTATCAGTGAAAATACTACGTCTTTTATCTTAATGTGAAATAATACATCACTTTTAAGAATAACTAATCACACACATAAAAAAAATTAAAAATTAATTTTTTTTTATGGTTCCATAGGCCTTGATCACACCAATCAGGCACTAATTCTTCACTGTACCAGTTAAAAGTTAATACTGATACACATTCAAATTACTTTTATTTACCAGGAGAATCATTTACTAATTCAATACTCTCAATATCTTATGAAACATTATACTTCCCTTCAGCTCTTACTTTTGATCTTTGTGCTGTTCTTTATATGCAGAAATTCTTTCGTTTTCAGTAAGATGCTGACCAATTAATTGGTCATACAGAAATGGACTTCTTTTTCTCATTTCAGCATCACTAAAATATTTTCCCTCTTCGACCATTTTTTTCAAAGCTTCGTACCTTCTGTTTCTTACTCGCACTTTACTTGACCTACAGTTGTGATTTTTACGAATTTCAGTTAAGTAAAAATTAACTTCGTAATCTGCCTGATGGCAATCGAAAAAAGGTATATCTTGCAGCTTTATGTACTTCCAATAACGTTGCAAAAAAAGAGGCACATTTCTACCCAAGAGATTGCTTGCTATCTCTCGTTTTTCTGCAATAGTCAAATCTATCTCACCTACTTGCTGGCTTTTAAAAAACCCATCACTTTCAGCTACGCAGTCTAATATGCTATTTCTCATTATCTCATCAATATCACTTTCCTCTACAATCTCCACTTCCATATCATCTTTGCTTGGAGTCCCAATCATTTTGAAATTAATGCGATTTGAAAATTTTCACAAACATATCAACGAACTACGGTCGCTACGAAAAATGTAAACAAATCACTATTGCCATTCAGGAAATTTATATGTTTAAGATCTCTTCAGCCATACTTATTGCTTTTCGTTCATTTATTTGAAACACATAATTTTCTATAATAGTGACTAACAAAGTTTCACCGTATAGGTTTAATTTGCATTTACTAGAAGTGAACGATTTTTTTAAAGAGTTTTTTTTTTTTTTTTTTTTTTTTTGGATGAAAGAAGTTTTATTCAAGCAATTTGGCAACACTGATTTCAAACAGAAACCGGTATCTCAAGTTCGTCTGTTTATTATCAGGAGTTTTCCTGTAGAGTGTATAGGTTGTTATAAGTCAGTGTTTTAACTTTTATCTTAAACATGGCTGAAGAAAAGCGCAAATATGATGCGGTAGTTTTTGGAGCAAGTGGTGTTACTGGGCAATATGTAGTTGAAGAATTAGCTCTTCACACTATAGGAATAAACTGGTGTATAGCCGGTCGGAATTTGGAAAAATTGCAGGAGACTTTAAGAGACATTGGCAGTTCAATAAGTAAATTTTTTCGTATTTTATTATTTCACTTCAACATGGTATTTTTGGTAAAATTTGTTTGTTTTAGCTTTCTAGCTTAGTTTCTATTTTATTTTAGCTGTTTTTTTTTTTTTTTTTTTTTTTTTTTAGCTTTTAGTACATCACTGTCTATTTTAAAATTTTAAGTTAGGTAATGTATTATGTATGAAAAATTAGTGAATTATGTGAAAGTACATTCATTTAACGTTATACGCAAAATAAAAGATTGTGAAAGTAAAAATACTGAATGTTTCAAATTGTATTTAAGGCTCATTTTCAAATTTTTGTTTCATATGCTGTCCCAGAAGAAAAGAAAGAAAATTTAAGATTAATTATGTTTGAAGTTTAATTTGAACAATGCATTGCCTAAAGATGACTATAAATATATTACTACAATTTAAAATATAAAAAAATCAGTTGAAAATTATTAAAAATAATTTGTCGTCTACTTCATGTCAACTCTCTTAACTTGAGATTATTTTACCCTGTACTGCCCCCTTTTAGGCAGATTTACAAATTAATTGGGGGTAAAATAATTCCAAGGTAATGGACTTGACATGAAGTGGAAGACAAATTATTTTTCTATTGATTTGTTAAAGAAAAAAACTTCTGTAATTAATTTTTATCATAAATATAACAATAGTTCATATTTAAACATAACAATAGTTCATATTTAACTAACAGTGCATATTTAAAGTAATTAAACTTTGTTATTTAAAACAAAAATTAGGTTACAAAACAAAGAGGTTTAATAACATGAAACTTGAAAGGGACAGGCACTTTTGCCTATGATCAGAGATTTTAAGATTTATGGCTAAAAAATTTCAATTGATTTTTTTTCATATTTTTAATTGTAGAAATATATTTATAGTCATCTTTATGCAATGCATTGTTCAAATTAAACTTTAAACATAATCTATCTTAAATTTTCTTTCTTTTCTTTTGGAACATCATATATAACCAAAATTTTAAAATGGGCCTTAAATCTGTTTGCTTGCTATTGGCTTTGAAAATGTTGTAGAATCAACTAAAACTTTTTATTTTTTCAGGCAAAGATTTGAGTGATATTAAGATTCTCATAGCCGATGTAAATGATGATTCATCTTTGGACAACATGTGCACAAGTACAAAACTCGTACTGAATTGTGTTGGACCTGTATGCAGATTTTTAAACAATTGATTAATTTCTTTAACTTTTAAACTTCTTATATTCATTATGTTTCTAATCGTATTATGCTGAAAAATTAGTGAATTATGTGAAAGTACATTCATTTGTTATACGCAAAATAAAAGATTGTGAAAGTATATACTGAATATTTCAAATTGTATTTAAGGCTCATTTTCAAATTTTTGTTATATATGCTGTCCCAGAAGAAAAGAAAGAAAATTTAAGATTAATTATGTCACTAATTTTGTGCTCTGTATTAAATATTTTAAATTCTGTATTTCCAGTAATTTCATTTAAAATATCATTTTAATTATATGTATAAAACATTTCTTTCTGACAAGTACCTTTTATATGCAGTAGGTTAGATTAGTATATTTCTTTGTATGTATTTTAAGATTGCTTTTGTTTTATCAGTTTTCTTTTTGTACTCATTTGGTAAATAATTTTATTAACATAAATGTTGTAATTACAGCTTTTTTTCATTTAATGCTGGTTTGTAAACAGGTGATTATAGATAATGAGAGAACCCGCTTAAGGATGTTTTTGTTTCTGCAGTTTTCATCCTTATGCAGTGATACATGATTAAGGTCATATGCCAAAGTGATTTTCTTTTTCCTGCAATTATGCTAATGATTTATTTTTTCTTTGCTGTTATCAGGTATATGTATGAATGACAAAAAAGGTGTTTCATTTTTTGTTACAATTGTTGTAATTTTAAGCATATGGCACAGAACCCTGTTATCCTTGTTAATTGATGTAAAAGCACCTAGAACACATAAGTGCACTGTAAAACTGTAATTAAAGAATACCATACAAATACCAAGAATGCCATAACAGTATTACATAAAATAAAATATAAAACAGTAATATATTTAGGAAGATGTCAAAGTGACTGAATATCTGATGCTGATATCTAGCTTAGTTTTAAACTGGATAATCTGGCCATATTTTAGAGAAATTCTATGTAAAGTAATCTTGAAATTAATGAAAAGTGATTCTATAGTGTATTAATGGAAGTCTCTGAATATTTGTTGATAAACTAAAACTGTGAAATTTTCTGGAAAGGAAGCTTTCTTGGGGATCAGTGGTAAATAACTGAAAACTGCAATTACTTTGATTTTTCAAATAAATAGCTAAAATTCATCAAAATGTATTTCAGAAGTCTTTCCAATGATATAATCTTAAATCATTATATAAGTTATACATAATAAATAATTCATAATGAATGAATTAAATCAACACTTTTTTATAACGATGATTTTGAATTTAAGGTTAAAAACTCTGTTGTTATTTTGATAAGGATTAAGGTTTCGGTGAAGTTGCTGGAAATATTTTATTCTCGCTAATGAAAAAGGAAATTTTTTTCAAAGAAAATGTTGTATGGTTATGTTATTAATTTTAAATTTCTAACATAACATTAAGACACTGCTAGATGACTTTTCATCCCATCTGACCTCTTAACTGGAATGATTACAACAAGTTAAAAATCTAAAAACTGTTTATTAACTTACCAACTTAATGCCTAAAAAAAAAATTAACAGTTAAAAAAAAACCTTGCAAGCTAATGGGGTTTTGTTCCCATTAAATTTTCAGTTACATAGACAAACAGTTCAATACAATGCAAAATATAAAAAATTAGTAAAGCCTAATTTCCAAACTTTGCTTCTTTGACTAAGTGCTTTTAAAGAATTCATGACTAGCAGAAACTTTGCTGACAAGCAACTTTGTAACAGCTGAAAGTCTAAAATAAAATAGAGTAACGTCAGCCTATGCCACCAAACACTGTCTCCTAAGCTTTCAAACTTTTCATTATTTGTGTCAGCCTATGCTATCAAACACTGTCTTATAAACTTTCAAACTTTTTGTTAATTGTATTAAACTAAGTTGCGTTCCCATGAAGCTGAGGAAAGTAGAAAATATAAAAAAATCAAAATAAAAAGTTTATTGCTTAACTAAAATAAACCTTGCAAAATCATTAAAAGAATTAAAATATCAGAATAATGAAAATGTCTATTCTGACTGTATTAATAAGATTCATTAATTGTTATGTGATTGTGTAGCAGAAGTAAATTATATGTAATATTCAACTAAATTACCAGTTAATTTTTATTTAAGAGTTAAATATTTTCTCAGCCAATTATAGAAATAAATTATCACCATTTACCTTATGGAAAAGAAAAATCAAACTAATATATCTAAATAAAATGGTAAGACATATCTTTCTGTAACTAACTAATAGCATATAGTATACACAAGGGCTGTTTATAGTACACAAAAGGAATGTTTATGTCTACAGAAGGAAGTATATATTAAGAAAAAAGATGCAACTGAATTTGGGAAAAAAAAAAAATTAAACATTTACTATTTTTTATCATAATTTAGCAGTTCTCAAAATGATTAAATATAGATCTTCAGTAAAAAAGCTTTCAAACACCCACTCCTTTTTAAAATCAGCAAATTTGACTTGAGAAAAGAATTTTAGCTTCACTGCCTCTAATGGAAAAACAAAAGTTGCATTACTGTAATATTTTAAGATCATGAAAATTTAATAAACTATTTGAAATAAGAATGAAATATAAGGAATTTTTCTTTTAGCAGATATGTAATTTGTCAGATAGTAACTGCTAAGATCATTAAATGAATTAAAATCTCGGAATAATAAAAATGACTGTTCTGACCATATTAATAAGATTCATTAATTGTTAGATGATTAACAGAAATAAACAATACATAATATACAACTAAATTCAGTTAATTTTTCTATATTTTCTACTTTCATCAGCTTCAAATCTGACAGATATCTAGTTATATCTAGCTATTGATAAATATTCATGAAGCCAGGTAAAGATGTTTTTTTGGAATTTTATTTCATTACTAAAATTTATTCAATCTCATATTTTTTCAAGAAAGAGACTATAATTTTTCCTCTTTTAAATTTAAAATTAAATCAATATTCAAAAGTTAAAGCATTCCTATATTTAAAAAAATAATTGTAATAAACTAATGATAGAAATATTTTGATAATCATGTAGTATGCAATCTACTTGTTTTTAGTTAGTTATTTGTTTCTTAGATGATGTCACTAAAACACTATTTTTACATTTGAATGTGCAATAAAATGGTTAAGAAAAATAAATTATTTAAACAACCAGTTTTATTGCCACCATCTGAAAAGTAAATAACTAAAAGCAGTAGATCATATACTGCATAATTACCAATATTTCTTCATGCTGATACTTTAATATGAATGGTGCCTTATGAAGTGGACCTCAAAATTTTGCTTCTTATGAAAAATCTGATTACATCACCTGGTTAGAACAGAATATAAGTTTGTTGTTATCCTGTTGTTGAACATCAAGGTAAGCTCAATGAGGACCTGTAAGGTCAGCAAGTTGTTACATTAGCTGTAAATAACGCAAGATAAATTACTCTTTTATTATGCCAATTTTGGCAGGAAAAGGGGCATACTTTTTTTTTATGGTGCCTGATTTTTAGGATACACTGTATGTGCAATTTTTTAATTTATTAAATTTTGCATAATTTATAATTAAAAACTATTATTAAAATAATTTTGAAATTAGATTGACTATAATTTGATAAATTTTGGTACTTCAATATGTATGTATGGTATTGCAGATTTTTTTTCTTTTTACTTTTTTTACAGTATCGATTTTTTGGAGAAAAACTTGTTCAGCATTGCATAAAGAATAAAACTCATCATATTGATGTCAGTGGTGAACCACAGGTAATATTCAGTTTTTATTCAGCAAATTACTTTTGACTCAATTTTTAAAGTATTCTACAATAGTGATATTCATACTCACTTTTGTAGTTTTTAGAAACTATCCAAGTTAAATATTTTGATGAAGCAAAAGAACAGAATGTATATATTATTGGTGCTTGTGGCTTTGATAGCATACCTTGTGATATGGGAATAGAAGTTTTGCGTAAAAAATTTGGTGGTGAGTTAGTATATTTTGCTTTTCCCAAAATTTCAGTGTTATAAATCTTGAAATTCATGCATATTGGAAATGTGATTTTTAATTATGCCTTAGAGTTGATATATTTTGTGCATATATTTATAAACTTGGTTTAACACAACTTTCTTTTCTTTAATATTACTTTTCTTACAATTTAACCATATAATGTTTTTGTTAAGTGAAATAAATGTTGCATAATATAGTAGTCATTTATATAGTTTAACTTTTCATATCAATAATATAAATAGTGGGCATTATCTGGTAGATGGAAGGAAAATGATTTCACAATATTTAGGTGCAAAGCTTATGATAAATTGATAATTACAAAGTACTTCAAATTTATTAAGCTTTAAAAAATGGGGGCACCCTTGTTAAACTAAAAAATAATGTGCTATATTGAGTGGCAAAATTCTAGATCTGTGTTACTGCATTTACAACTGACATTTGAAGTGACCTAGTCTAGCTGTTATGCAATTTTCCAAGAATTTGAGTATATAATGGATCATTCATTGCAATGAATAGATACTGGAGAAGAAAGCACTTGTCAATCTATTGGCAGTCTGCAAATTGCCACCAAATAATGTATATAATATCGTAGCTGGTTTAGATTTTATGTTTAGATAATAATTAAATTTTACTCTTGACCACATTATAAAACAAATTTGACTTCACCCCTGTTTTTTACATTTCTATAATGATATAGCATAGAATTTGTATGTAAAAATAGTCAACCCTGTGATGCAATAAGCTGTTTTTTACATTCTTTTTGTTTATAATAATCATTTGTGCTCAGCTAATGTGCAAGTACCAAGTTGTATTTTTATAACATGGTTAAGAGAAAAAATTTTTTAGTTTTATTGAAAGAAATTTATAAATGTCGATTAAGTCCAAAACATTTAAATATTCTGTATTTAAATATCTTGAAGAAAAACTTTAAAAAATACAAAAGATGAGGAAAAGTTGATTTGTTTGTGATTAATGTCAAAACTTTTATTCAATCTTGCAGTGCTTTTTCATTAAAAATTATTTCTATAGTATGTGATTTTATAAGTGTTCTTAATACCACTTAGTTTTAAAGCTAAATTGCATTAACTTTTAAATGTGAAAATTGCATCTTTTAAGACATTAACCAATCGAGAAGAAAAGCTTCTATTAATGAATGCAGCAACATGAAGACAGCTTTTCTTACATGTGCAACATAAAATAGATAATTTGATACTCAAACATATATGTTTAAATATTCAATGAACGATTTTACATTGCACATATGATTAGGACAAAAGTCGATTTCGGTACTTTTCCGTTTCGCCGGCACAAATCTCGCCAAGCAGACTTTGTTCGCGACAGCATACAGTATACACATAAAAAATGTAAACAAACGTTAGTTCTAAGAATTTTTTATTTTGAAGGCATAAACATTTTAATATGGTTTAAAATTTTGTAAACAGCCAATAAATTTTTAAAAAGATATTAAGAATTTACTATGCTTTCATGGTACAACATCCTGATTTGCCAGTTCATATCACTTGAACCCATGTGATCTCATCTCATGTAAACTGCGCTACAAAAATGTAATTCTCTCAATAATTATCTACATTAATTTCAAGTTAAATTTTAATTTGAATAAAAGTTTAAATGCAAGAATTATTTCAATTCATACGAATAGCTTACTCAGAAATTATGTAAAACCGTACTGCTTTACTTCGCTAGTGCATTCTCATTAGAATTGATGAATTTAACCCTTGATTTTGCCTTTTCTATACTTTCGCCTTCGGATGAGCGGTGTGATTGCATTCTAATTGACTTAATTACCACGAATGATCTTAGGGCATAAAATTTAACTATCTTGTAAAAATTCTATGTAATTGTATGCCAGTATTGAAAGAAACAATTAATCTGATAAGAAATGGCTGCAACTTGTTTTGAAAATGAGGCGTAAAAGGTTACCAGCGAAGATATTCCATTTGGCATCAGTTGCACCATTGTTAGCGACTTTATCGTTTGCGCCAGCAAAACGGAAAAGTACCTGGATTTCTTATAATAAAACATATCATAATGTGTTATTAAAAAGAATGAAAGGAAAGAAAGAATATTTTATAAGCTATCGGTTATTAAATATTTTTTAATTTGTAATGAATAATGAAAAATAGTTAATTTTAAATTTACTTCTTAATGAGTTGCATACACTTTAATTTAAAAATTGAACAATTGATTATTTTTTATTATTTGGTTAAATTTCAGTAAAAAAAGGCTGCCTGCATTTTTAATAGACACCAGTAAGGATTTATTTTCTTCATCAGCAAAAGTTATTCTGAATATATTAGATTTTATTCCCATTGTTTATCAAAATGAATTGAGCCTCTTTGGATTGCAAAGCGATGCTAGCTTAAATCTGAATATGTCCAATTATTTTTTAAAATCTGATATTAAAAGCTATTTTTTTTGGTGTTTTCAATTATTTTTGTAGTTTTTGCAATCATGGGTTGAATTTTGTTGTTCTTAACAATTCATTGAAAGGAAAGGTTTTTTAATTTTTATTAATTTTAGTCATTAATGTTCATTGATTTTAAATTTATTACAAACATGTTACTAGGTAATACTTTTATTTTTTATTAACATTATAACTGCAGGAATTTTTCTTTATCTACTACTTTATTTCTGAATTATTTTATTGTTTAAAAGAATTTATGAAAATTCTTTTGAATGTTTCATGATGTAGTAAAATTGAATATATAGTTAGTTATAATTCACATAGTATTTTTTATAATTTTAGAATAACTCGATTATATTTACTGATGTCTCGAGTTATACGTATACTATATAGCAGAACCTCTATTAACCAAGCATCTAATAACCGAGGTCTTTGATAACTCAGTTGGCAGTCTGTTTATAGAAATTACAGAAAAATATTTTAAACAGTAGAAAAGGTAAAAGGAAAATCAGTAACATTAGCAAATTCTCTCATCAGTGATTGATTTTAGGCTTTATCTGAGATGGGTCATTTAACAGTCTTCCTGTTGTGAATTACAGTCAAGATGGGTTTTATTTACTGCATTTCTTCACATTTTCCTCCATGGCTTTTTTAGCCACTAGGTTTTGAAAATTTTTAAATATTCACAGAATTTTCCCCTTTCTCTGTTGTACATACATTTTTCTAGTCTGAGGATTAGTTTGTTTCAATTAGTATTTGCATTTTTGTATTGGAATTTTATCCATTTTATTTTCCCTCTGCATTTATTATTTGAAACATATTTAAGGCTGCATGAATGCTTTCTTGTTTTTACTCATTGGTAACATGAATACTAATCAGTTTCACACGAAAGCTCTGTGTGAAGGTAATTGCCTATTTTGCCTTAATAAATTAACTTGACCATAACAAAACTTGTTTAATCATTAATTATTTAATATTTAAAATGAGACAGCAAAATCAATATCTTGTATTTTATATAATTTAAAGTTTTATTATCATTACTGAACATTTATATTAACCTTTTGATGGTCTTCAATGAGCTCGGCTCCCATTCCAGTTACACGGCAGAGTTCGCACAAACGAACACAGCTCAGATTATAGATTTATGATGGACAGATCTTGCACTATTTGAGAAAAACGAATTGCTTAACCTCGCAACTCTGCTTTAATAACCTATGTTTGAATCCGACAAAACATGAATGTTTGCTGGTTTTTTGCATTACTGTCATAAATAAAAAGAAAAGAAGCCCTTAGAGAGTCCTTCACAATGGCATCCTTTCCTTAGATAGCCTGGCATGCTTTAAATAACATTTTATTAATTATAGAAACAAACAAGCATAATAGAGGCATTAATACTTTTTATTTAATTTTAAAAATCATGATATTTTTTAACGCTAAGCAGGTACAAGTCCAAGTTGAGATCTTTGAAAGGTAAATCATGACTACACAAGGTGTCCCCATAAAGTAACCATATAATTTCTTGTAAATAAGAAAAATATTACTAACCTTCAAGTAAATCAAAATAATTACCAGAAGAGTATATAAAATTTTTCAATGTTGGGTCACAGAAACACTGTTTATAGGCATCGGATATACACATGTTTTTGAAATACACATTACGTTTGAGGCATTTCTAAATTTCTGTCCTTTCATAGCCACCTTTAGCTTCAGAAAGAGGGGGGGAAATCAGCTGACAATAAGTCGGGAGGATATGGTGGATGATTTATCACTGCAATTGAATGTTAAGCAAGATATTATTGCACAAACAGTGCTGTATGGGGCCTAGCGTTATCATGCAAGAGAAATCATTACCGCACATATAAAGTTTTTTCCTAACTCGCCATATTCTATTTCTTAATCAAAAAAGTACCTTCTTGTAATAACACTAATTGATTGATTTTCAGAAATAAATTCAGGACGAGTCCTTCATAGTAAAAAATGCAATCAGCATTGCTTTAGTCTTTGATTTCAACATACGTGCCTTTATTTCTTTTGTATTGAAAAAGACTATCCTTTCCCTGGGTACTTACTGGAAGTGTATCGTTTTGTTTCTGGATTATATCATCTCATGTCCTGGTATGATATACTTGGAAGAAATTGTAGTCCTGTCTCGCAACAATCGTCAAATCTTCACAACAAGCTTTCCTGTCTTTTTTTTTCCTGTTCTGTCAAAATCTGAGGCACAAATCAAGCACAAACTTTTGTCATTTTCACATTTTCAATTAAAATTAACCTACAGCTTTCTTTGCTTATCCCAAACATGTCTGAAAGGTTGCTAAATTGTTACATGTCTATCGTTTGTAACCAAAGAGTGCATTTTCTGCTTATTTTCCTCATTAAAGTTGAAGGGTGTAATCTTTGATTCATCATCAACATTTTTGCATCCACATTTAAAGGAACTGTACAACTTACAGACATGTGTTCTCGATAACGCTGCATCACCATGTATGGTTTGAATCATCTCTATCATTTCAGTAGCAGATTTGGTTAATCTATATTTTAAGGTGTCCCT